AGAGAGAGAGAGAGAGAGAGAGAGAGAGAGAGAGAGAGAGAGAGAGAGAGAGAACTCACTGCTCAGATATATGAAAAAACAGAGGCCGAACTCGATGACCACATAAGAACTGAAAAAAAGGAGGACAAAGAAGGGGCAGTGGGAGTAGACAATGACTACGTACTACGTAGGCAATTGTTCTCTCTGCTTTATAGCTCCACATGTGAAATCGTCAACCCTGTGTGTGCCCTCAATTCCCCCCTCTGCTGTGCCCTCAATTCCCCCCTCTGCTCTGCTCTGCTCTCCTCTCCAATGCGTCCCACTTTTTCCCATGCACCCTTGAGATTGATCTCTCCTCAGTCCTTTTTTTTTTTTTTGATTTTCTTTTCTTTTTTAATCCCAGATCTTCAAAAGATCTCTCCTCAGTCTCCTCAGTCTTTGCTCTGTCAGTGGCAACTTCCACAAAACAAAAGCGCAGCCATCTGTGCCTGACAGCGATACTCACCCCCAAGCCGTGAGCTGAAAGAGTTCACACACACTCCACTAACTATGTCCCAGAACCGAATTGTACTGTCCTTCGACCTGCATATCCAACAAAACCACAGAGACCGAACACGATGGACCGAACGAAAAATTGAGCAATGGGAGCATCACAAAAATTTGAAAACGTAATTAACCACAGCATGACACAGGCTGACAGTGCACCCATGTCGACGAACATGCAGTCCTTTATTGCACAAAGAGGTTCACAGAAGCTGAAATACCAGCGCGCCACCTCCACACCCCTTTGAGGTGCAGGGCCTGTGTTGCTTGAACAAGGGAAAAACGTTTGCCGAAGCTTGGTAGTCCTGCATCATGAGGCCAGGTCAGGTTGTCGCTGGGTAGGAATGCAGCACAGCGATCAGCACCCCCCCCCCCACCTCCTTTTGAAGGGGGCCTTCAGACCCCCTTAGGAAAGCGAAAGCACTGACTGACTCAGATTGGCCAGAAAGGAATCGGCTCAAGCAAAAAATTGGCCTGGCTATGTCGGTCAGGAGCCAGGCACCCAACCCGGGCTAGGACGCAAACCAGGCAAGCAACAAACCTGTTCATTCTGCACCTCTCCTGGGAAAGCCAAGCTGTCTTCGAGCTGCTCAAGGTAGTGCCTGGCACTTAGAAAAAGACATGTCCATGCCACGACGACCAGCCCGAAGCTGGTCATAGCAACTGCAGTAACGAGGAAACATCCATAGCTGGATTGATCAAAGCCAGCACTACAATCCCCCTGAGAAGCCAAAAAGCACAGACTCAGGTGGTCCGATCAGGCACCTGAACCTCACTGAGTCTGCGGGGGACTAAGCACCCAACCTTCGACACCTCAACCATGCCGAGTAGGCGAGGGGCGAAGCACCTAACTTGACGCAGACCGGCTAGAACAGACTCAGGTTGCCAAATCGGCACCTGAGCCTCATCGAGTCGGCCAAGGGACTAAGCATCCGACACGGCAAAGATGCACACCAGCCACAGAGCAGGCTCCTTTCTTGGGTTGGCCAATTGACAATCGATCTTGCCGCGTAGGTCAGGGGCTAAGCACCGAACTTGATGCAGACCGGCCAGGACGGACTCAAATTTGCAAAATCGGCACCTGAGGCTCACTGAGCGGGCCAGGGACTAAAGCTACCGTCTTCACCCGAATAGAACGCCCAGTCATTATAGCTGTATCTGGACTGAAAATTGCACCAGATATGGCTATAATGACCGGGCGTTCTATTCGGGTGAAGAAGGTAGTTGCACGATATTATCAAACAACAGAACCCTTGCATACAAAGTTACAACTGCACCCCTCCTTCCCCCCTTGTCTCCCCTGCCTGCCTGATTATGCAGAAAATTAGCTTTCTTTTTTAAAATGGAAAAAAAAGTCATTCACTAGAATCACTACAACTAATATAACACTACGGATTAGTTCCCTTTCAAAAATCTCATAACTCAGATTTTTGAATGGGATTTCCAATCAATGATTTACTACTGCAAGCAATGTGAAATAAAACACGCCGGGCATATAGAACGTAGCTGAACTGGGAAAACGAACAACTTGCACATGTCTCGGTACACATACATTGCCTTGTGCTGCTCACCCTGTGATGATCAGATTCCCGTGCGGATTGAATATCACCCTCGAGACAGATGCATTATGGCCGGCAAACACCTTCACAAGTTGCCCTGTGCGCACATCCCACAGTCGCACAGTCTTATCATAGCCACCTGTAGCAACATGAGTCTGCAAAGTAGCAGATGAACAGCATAGCGATCAAACAGTACAGAAACTGAATACAGCAATGTGGACAGGAGAGAAATTAAACCTCCAAAAGAGTCCAAAATGATGTTGTCACCAACTGCATTAAAATATGCCGATGTTCTCTTGTGCATTCCTCTTCATTCCGCGTACCTCCTCCTCCTTGCATTTCCGTTACCCAGGCTCTATGTGGTCTATTTTAGTATTTTCCTTTTTTTTGTTCCCCATCCAAACTCCACCATCCTTTTCACTTCTCCATCTCTTTGCCTCTCTACTCTATTTAGTTATTTACACTACCAGGGAACACCCCACTAACCTGTACCTCTCTCTGACCCATGGGGTAGGTTGGAAGCACAACAGAGTGGGATGGCGCGAGAGCGAAGCTCCGCCGGCCCCTAATCAGCTGAGATATGCAACTGTATGGGTGCTGCCGGCCGTCTGGGGAACACTGGCAGCTCTACCGTCTTCACCGAAATGCAACCGACGGTCATTTTGCCGTATCTAGACTCAAAGACGGCCAAAATACTATAATGACCGTGTGTTTTCTTCGGGTGAAGACGGTAGTGCCAAGCACTGTGGCCGGCTGGTGCACCTCCACAGAGTGTCAGTACGAGAGTGAAGCTCTGCCAGCCCCTAATCAGCTGATATGTGCAACTGTATGGGTGCTGCTGGGTGGGGAACGCTGGCAGTGCTAGTGCCAAGCATTGCGGCCGGTCCCTCCACCTCCCCTTCCTCCCCCCCCAACCCAGCCCACACAAGCACTGTCTAATAGAGTCGACAATGCTGCATTGCACCCAACAATGTCAGCTAAGAGTCCTGCCGATGCTTGCCTGGGGTCCCAGTGGGGTATCTGTAGATGATAGCGCAACAAACATGCCGAGGGGAATTGAACCCGGGACCTCCTGAATGCAAAAGCCTTATTGACTGAGTTATAGGCCTGTTGGTCCCCGATCAACACAAGTCCCGATGTCAGCAACAGTATGTTGCGCCAGCGGCTGTGTGGGGGTCAACGAGGGGTAAGAAGAGGAGAAAACCAAAAGGACCACAAAAAGTGGCAGTGGAAAGCAGCAGGATTAAGAGAGAAGTTCAAGGATAATGAGGAGCTGGAAGGGATCCATATACTTTTCTCCTCAGCAGTGCCAGCAGTGTTGATTTCACATACAAGCTTCCGGCGAATTGCCAGCAGTGTTGATTTCACATACAAGCTTCCGGCGAATTGCCAGCATCGCATGGCAATCCTATATATGCAGAACAGGACTTCGTTTTGGGGGGAAATGCCATCATCCCATTGAGGCAAGGAGTAGCAAAGAGGCCATGTCCGAGAGAACCCTTGACTTAGGTTTTTTTTTTTGTTTCCGAAGCAAGTTCCTAAAGGAGGAGCTCTCTGTGGAAAAAGAGAAGGAACAGATACAGAGGAGCAGGGAGAACTACGGTAGGTGGAGAGGGCATGGACCCCTTTGCTCTTTGTCGATTCAGAAGGGGCATAGATGGTGGCGTAATACAATTGACGCCCCGTGGCAAGAGAGTTGTAGAGGAAGTCACGGCGAACGAGGTGTTTCTTTCTTTTTTTTCTTTTTTTTTCTCTTTTTTTTTCTTTTTTTTCTTTTTTTTTTGGGGACCATTTCTTGATTTATGCATGTCATCCTTGAGCAGGGGCCATGCTACTGTAGTCTTCTGTGCATCATTCCAATTTTAACGGATGTCGAGAAGAATGGGGTCTTTCTTTCTTAATTTGTTTGTCCACCTAGGTTTTCCAGTTATTAGGAGATGGAGAAAATGCATGCAACGGTGCTATGATCCCCAAAGGAGGATGACATAAAGAAATCCTTTGTCTTCCAGAACAGGAAAGGTGGGAGGTTATCCATACAAGAGGGGAACGAGCAAGAGTTAAAAGGTGGGAGGAATGATGATGACATGAAGATATGTAGTAGAGAGATGAAGAGAGATCAGTTGATGGACAACAAGAAAGAGCACAACCAGGAGGACATCTTTATTTTCTTTCCAGAGGACGCTGTATGTGCAATGATGCTAACGACAAAGAAGAGCAGTGAGAGCAACAAAGAGGAGGAAAAGGAGAAGAAAACGAGGGATGAAGAGAGCCTTTTATATTTTTCTTTAGAAGTTGAAGAACAGGATGAGCAGCAGACAAAGAGGTGGAGGAACGAGGAGTAGCAGGGGAGGGATTGCATCTTTTCTCTCCAATTTTTTTTCTCTTCTGGACGCAGGTGCGATCGAATGTTGAACTCCTGTTCATTCCTCCTTAAACCTCCTACCTGCTTCTGCTGTCTACTTCACGTACTTCCCACCTTCGAAAACCATGCTGTTTGAAAACCGTTGCCTGTGAAACACTGCACCCATATGCTACCATCTTCCCCCAAACAAAATATACCCTGATTATGAACGCATACAAGGTATTTTATGAGGCCACCACATTCATGATGAGGAATCTGAGGATGTGTTGTGTTTGCCGGAAGACATTGGGCAGTATGTCAAAGAGAATACACACACACACACACACACACACACACACACACACATATCCAGGTCAGAAGGGAGCTTGGAGACTCTGAAGACTGCACGGGCAAAAGTCTCTAAGGAAAGGCGAGAGATGGCGGGAACTACCTCTGAGCGACCTACTAATGAGAGGAAGTAACTTTTTACTGGATACGTTAGGACTAATGGGATTTGAACCCCGGATCTGTCTTGCATAACAGAACGAAGGGCACCGCTCTGCGCCGCTCAGAAAGAAGCTTGGAACTCTGAAGTCTGCACAGGTAAGAGTCTCAAAGGAAGGGACAGGAGATAACAGGAGATGCCTCTGTGGGACCTACAAATAAGTAGAAGTAATTTTTTCTAGGTACGTGGGGACTAATGGGATTCGATCCCCGATCTGTCTTACGAAATAAAACAAAGAACACCTCTGTGCCCTGCTCACGCACAAGCAACCCCCCGGCCTCGGATCATTCACGAGGCAGCGTCTCACGCACGCGCACACACACCCTACTCCTTATCTCTCCCGCCCGCTCCTCTGTACTTTAGCTTGACGTCTACCCCCCTACATTTTTTTACGCTTTTTTTKTTTTTTTKTTTTTTTTTTTCTCTTTTTTTTTTTTTTTTTTTTTTTTTTTTTYYTTYTTTYYTTTTTTTYTTYTTYTTTTTTTGCGTTCCCCCCCCGCGCTCCTTCATCTCGTAGTTTTCCGAGGAAAACGGTGTGATGAATTACGGACCAGGGGCAGGCACAAATGAAGAGTTCTTCTGTACCTAGAGGCAAGGTTCGACTACTTTCATTGTCAACTCGAGTTCCGAAGATGCTGCGGCCGAGCACTTCGGGCATACCAGACTCCACGCCGGCAGTGAACTTCAGGCCCGGTCGGACCAACGGATCGAATGATACTTAAGCAGCTAAGCTTGGCCACAAAGGGTACTTCCAGACGGAGTGCACGAGACCACCTGGAGCAGTCGATGACCAGTTTTCTGTCGAGTCGCCTAGCGAAGGATTTTGCAACGGGTTTTCTTGCGAGGACTGCCTCGGCATTTTTCTGTGCCAGTGGCTGTTGGACGTACCAAGGCTCAAGGATGGACTTCCACTTTGATCCAGACAGCGAGGAGGACTTCATCGGCACTCAAGAAGGGGTATTGTAGCCGCATCGCCATGAAGCCCACTGGACTGGACCCGCTAGCGCTCCTCGCTCTGCTCTGCTCTATCGCGCTGTGTCTAGCACTCGTGCCCAACATCCTCATCGGCGCGCTGCTCTGTTGGGCCTGTCAAACCGAGTGCGTGATACTCTCAGGCTCGCGCTGCTTCTCTGCTCTCATTTACGCCACGGCGTTCTTCTTCGCTGCCCTCAGCGCGATCTGCACAATTGCGCTCATTGTAGCAGTACTCCTCCTGCACGACCTGATTGCGTAGCCCTTCGTCCATGCTCACCGCTTTCGTACTATCTCCCCCCTTCTCTTGTGCTCTCTCTCTCTCTCTCCTCTCTCTCTCTCTCTCTCTCTCTCTCTCTCTCTCTCTCTCTCTCTCTCTCTCTCTCTCTCTCTCTCTCTCTTTCTCTCTCTCTCTCTATCTATC